ATTTGATCAAGATTGTCGGTGAAAGAGCTTAGATCAGAGTAAGNGATAAAGGATTGTTATTAATCACTGTAGGGTCTGTCGGATATGCGTAGCGAGCAAAACCATATAAACACTCAACACATTTACTGGGGTTCAGGTTTAGCCCCGATGAGGAGGAGAATGACTGAATTTGATCAAGATTATCGGTAAAAGAACTTAGATCAGAGTAAGAAGAAATGGGTTGGCACAACACGACATCATCTGCATATCTCAAAATTCGTGCGGGAGAAACTAGGGTTATATTTAAACCCTGTAATTCCCGTACCAAATGTGATTCGTGTCCAGTGGACTAGAGAAAATATATCGAGAGCATTTCCTGAAGAACTGACTTTTGACAACAGGGAATATCACAAATATTAAAGGAAGCATTACTGGATACGAAGAGCATAACACTGGTTCTGAAATACAAGGTAATAAATAGCGACATTTGCATTGACGAGTCAAGCTAAATTCGAGCTCAATTATCTCTAAAATTCTAAAACGTTTCTTTTTTGAGATTCCCGAATCCTCCATTGGGTTCTGTTTACAAGGCCGATGTTGATCCTGTAATACCTATTTAGCTGTTTTATTAGTTGATGAAATATCGCGTTAGCTACGAAGGCTAAGTCAAAAGTTTCCAAATACGAAGTGCATGTAGGAGGTGCAAATGACCGAGCAAGGAAAACGTGAAGTGTAATCTGTTGGGATTTTTTTCAGTGATTACAACTTACGGAAACAAATATTAACAGCCGAGCATAGTGCACCCGTCCTGAGGATCGCAATACTCGAACTGTAAGGATATAACTCAGCCGATGTCATAGGGGACAACGATTCTCGACAACTACAAATGTGGTTTAAAGGAACAGCAGAGTGCTAATCGGTTGCGAGCTGCCTTTGGTGATGAAGCTCCACCAAGAAGCGCTGTTTCAGTTGTTTGCGGAATTCAAGTGGAGGAGGCGGTCCCTGGATGATGCGACATGATGTAGTCGACCTGTGGATGCCACCACAGTGGTCAACGTTGCTTCTGGGCAAGCGATGGCGCAGGAGAATGCTCGGGTGACAGTGACAGCTGACGAAAGCCATAGAAAACAATTGGCACTACCCGTTTGGCTCCCTAGCTGATGGCTTCGGGATCATCGTAACCGGTGGTTAAAGACACTGAATGATATGGCTGTCGTGTATCTTCTCAATTTCTTTGCAATCTTCGTCCACTGAAATTCTCCATTATTTCCTCGACTTAGCTTACCTGCCTTTCTCCTACTGCTTCATTCAAATGGGCAACCAAAACCGGTGAATGAAAGTTCATCGTTAATGGTTGTACAAACCGAACCCTGTATGAGAAGCTCGGCCTCAGGTAGGTTTGCGCACTCTGGGTACACCGTCCGCTCAGTGAGGAACAGAAAGCAGTTGAGGGTGAATTGGTGAGCACCGTTCTTACCGGGTGTGATGGTGGTTGTTCCAGTGCGGTTTGGGAGATCATCAGTGATGATAAAACTTTGGTGTACAGTTTCGACCCATAGGTGAAACAACAATCGGTTCAGTGGGTGCCGGTTGGTGGCGCGCGGCCTCTAACATTCCGACGCGAGTACAGTTTGACAAAGCAGACAGCGGCTGTTTATCGGAAAAAACGGTCATGTGGCTACTGTACCACTCGTACAGCAAAGCATAGTCGTCGAGCGCATGAATGCTGATGTAGAATAGTTCGAGAAAGTGTAATGGTGTAAGAAATGAAACTTTTGCTCGGTCCTCGTATAAGTAGTAATTTTGGATAGGCGACCAATTATTTCAACTGGTTTTTCTTTAGCTGTACTTCACGTTCGCACGCAGTTATCAGTTAATCCTTACAATAGGAAAAGTAGACTCACTACAGCCGTAAAATTGGCAGAATTTCACGCGGTCCCTCCGTTGTTTAAATTCCTGACTCCTCGTGGAGAAGACTTGTTTGAGTAAACACTCTTACCAGAAACATTTTGCTCAGCCCTCGTGTTGCCTCAAGTGAAATTGGGGATTTATTTAATAAATTGTATACGTTATCAAAGCTTTTACTGCACAATCTCATGTTTCCGAAATAGTAGAAACTAGAACATGAATAACGTGTTTTTCCCACCATGAATGTCAGACAATTTCCGAGGAAGGTGGTGAATCTGTGATGCACAATCCATGGCTCCTGAATAATTGACCGTG